GGGCCTGGGCATTCTGGTGAGAACTGTAGCAAATCCGAAGAGCCTTGTACTGGTGGAGGAATCTTTTTCTATGTGGAAAGATAAATTTCATTCTGTTGTGAATCATATCAACATACTGATTAAAACCTGAACCCTTAAGGCCAGCAGGTGGTGTAGTGGTTAAGGCACTGGACTGCCACATGGCTGACTTGGTTTTCTAGTCCCAGACCTGGTGGCTTGAAAGCCACACTGGGCAAACGTGTGTGCCCAAAATTGCAAGAGAATGGAGGAGAACAGATTGCAATGGGGCCATCTCCCGGGGCATGATTTCTCACTTTTTCTCTCACTGTCTTTCTCTGTCTCCATCAAATGCATGTGCCATATAGGAAGAGGGAAATAAAAAGAAAAAGAAAAACCGGGACCAGCAGATAGTATAGTGGTTACATTGCTGAACTTCCACATGGTCCAGGTTCAAGTCCCAGACCCTGTGGCTTGAAACTTAAGCCAGGCACGTATGTGTGCATGCCCAAGATCCCGAGAAGAGAATGAAGAAGGGATTGTGATGTGGCCATTCCCCTTGGGGGTGATTTCTCATTTATCCGTTTGTCTGTCTCTCGCTCTTAGTCCAGCGCATGTACTCTAAGGCAAAAACCTCTACCAAAACAAAACAAAACAAAACTCTGAACTCTTAATCTGTGGTGTCCAGGCTCTTACCCCCATACTTTTTTAAAACTTTGCAAAAGGGTGTGTGCACTCACTGGAGAGGTGGTACGAAGCACCCTCCATGGTGAATGGTCACATTACACACCCTTCTCCTCCATTTCTTCCTCTGTTTGTGATTCTGAGCACACAGGCACGCATACTTGGTGTGTTTTTATTTCTTATTTTTTCTTTTTTTAAAAAAACTGACTTTTAAAAATTTAACTTTATTTATTTATTTATTTTTAATTTGACTAGAGAGGGAAAGAGGAGAGAGAGAAAGTGAGAAAGCAAGCCACCAGGTCTGGTACTCAAACCATGGTCGGCCATGTGAGGGTCCAGCACCCTTAACCACCAGGCCACCTGCCGACCCCCCCTTTTTTTTAAAGAATTATTTTATTTATCTTTATTTTACTTATTTATTTTAATAAATAAGAGAGGGAGAGAGAGAGAGAGAGAGAAAGTGAGAAAGCAAGCCACCAGGTCCGTGACTCAAATCACAGTGAGCCATGTGGGAGTCCAGTGCCCTTAACCACTACACCACCTGCTAGCCCCACCTGGTGTGTTTTCTGAGCTGCTGCGTCTAGGACTTGAACTATGCATTCATCCATGTGGGGTCCAGCCACCTTAACCATCATGCCATGGGGTGGCCTAAGAGAGAGAGAAAGACTCTGCAGGGTCTGGGGGATCTGGTCACACTCCAATCCTCTTTCTTCAGCCCTTCATTCTTTTGGAATCTGGGCCCTCATGTACATGCCCTGCATGTTTCAGGCTGACCAGACTGAGGATTCAAGCCATGGTCACCATGTAGGATCCAGCTTTTCTTAAATAGCATGTTACCACAGTGCCATGGAACCGGTTCCATATTCCTCCTTTTTATCTGGTGGATTTGTGGTAGTGATAAATTTGTTCCTTGAAAGAGTTGGCCGTATTACTCAGTATTCGCCTCACCATTAGGTCTTTGGTTCATTGTAATCTGATGGCCTTTGTGAGTTCTCTGTGACCCTCAGCCATAGGGAAACCTGCCTGGGTTTCCCTCTGCTGCCTTTGATGGATTGGTTGTTGGCTTTATAAAGGCCTGAGGAGATGTAAGCGTTGTCTCTTGGCCCCAAGTGCTACCCTTGGAAGTCCCTGACCACCTCTTTACAGACATCAGATTCTATATTCAGATACCCACAGAAGCTGTCTTATGGATGGATGTTCCACATGTACTACAACACATGCAAAACTGAGTTCTTCCCACTGCTTCCCAAACCTGCCCCTCTTGCTACACCCCGGCTCTTTGCCTAGGCGTTGAGGGACTGGGATGTCACCTTCACTGTTCCCTTTCTTCCCTTGTGTCCTGTCTCTAGCCACTGTCGGTTCTGCTGCTGATATCTCTTGATCTCACTCTAGGCATCACCCTCCCACTGGTCCTTTTAGTATACTTCAACCCTCTTCCAGTCCAACCTCATACTTCTTTCCTTTTTTTTTTAAAATTTTGCCAGAGGGTATGTGCATTTGCTGGCGAGAGACTGAGAGAGAGAGAAGGAAAGTGAGAAAACACTCCCCATGGGGAATGGTCACACCACAGTCCCTACTCCTTCATTTCTCTCTCCTATAAGGATTTTGGGCACACATGCACATGCTATGTGGTGAGTGTGTTTCTCAAGCTTCCGGGTCGGAATTTGAACTGTGCAATCGGCCATGTGAGATCTACCTGCCTTAAACACTGCACCTAGGCGGGCCCCAACCTCACATTTTTCCCTAAATACACACATCTAATTGCCTCTCTTTCCTCTAAACCCTCTGGTAGCTCTCTGTTCCCTAGAAAGGTCCTGGTCCTCACCATGACTTGTACTGTTCTCTGTAACTGGCTCCTGTTGGCCTTGTAGAACCTCATCTTCCCAGCCTGGTTTTGTAACTCCAAATGGCCCATCTCCAAGCACAGGTACTGCTGTGGCCTTCTGGGCCTTGGAGTCTGGTTCTCTCTGCCTGAAACACCGTTTCCACCTCTCCTCCCCTGACTCATTCATTCTTGCTTCAAGATTGAGTGTGGGGGTCACCTCCATCATGAGCTTTCCCCAACCCCTGTGTCACTCTACATATGTCTTTTATTTCTTGGGCTTACCATTTGCCATGCTATATGGAAATTTTATCTTTCTTTCATTTAGATTGAGTTTATTAAAACATTTCTATTATGTTTTATTGGTTTTTGTCCTTTAAAATATAACTTACATTGGGCCAGTGGGGGGTGTAGTGGTTTAGGTGGCTGAATTCTACATGGCTGACTACATGATTCAAGTCCCAGACCTGGTGGCTTGCAAGGCATGACAGGGCATGTGTGTGTGCATGTCCAAGATCCCAGGAGGAAAATGGAGAAGAAGGGATTGTGGCATGGCCATCTGCCCTGGGAGGTGCTTTCTCATTTTCTCTCTCTCTGTCTCCGTAGAATACATGCACCCTGTAACAAAATTTAAAAAAAAGAATTGTATGTGTGTGTGTGTGTGTGTTTGTGTATGTAGGTTTTATCTACATATACATATAAAACCTACATTGAACCATGTTTTATTCATTCCTATATCCATAGTATTTAGTAGACGTTCAATAAATTTCTGACCAAAATGAATCATTTTATTCCCAATTCTGTATGTATAATTAATAGGAAATTCTCAGTTTTCTTCAACCCATGGGGCCTCTGATAGAATTAGAGAAAGGCAGTCTGGGTAGAAAGGTGGTGAGCTCTGGAAAGCTTTAATAACTTCAGTACTTCACCTTATCTAGGGCCCTTCCAGCCCCCGAATACTAATGGTTCACAAATCTGTCTGGGGAGCAAATGCAGAGGGCTGCTGGATCCTCATCCCAAGGAAAGATGTCCTAATCTACATCTTGACTGAAGTAGGCTAGCTTAGCAGCTGCTTGATGGTGGTGGGTTAAAGCTTACCAAGCTCACTGAGGTTGGTTGCAGCCAGTTCTGGGCTTTGCATGGGATTCAGCTATCTGTGGTGAGCTGGGAAGTGATAGCCCCGGGACAGGGTCAAGATGGTACACTAGCAAAGTAGTAGGAAGCTGTCCAAGAAAGAGCAGGGTTAGGGCAGGGTTTGTTGTTTGTTGTAGGAGGCAACCACCTCTGTAGGAGACATAGTACCCATGAGGGGGACCTTGGAGGAGCAGCTTTCTGAGCCTGGTTGAGTGATGGTATTGGAGAAAGAGCCTCTACCACTCCACACCCCCGTCTCAGAAAAGATGAGTCAGAATAATAAGAGGAATCATTTTAACAATTTATGAAACTTGTGACTTCAACTAGGATAAGGGACCCAGACAGGGTAGAGAGGGGAGAGGACCTGTGACAGTTGAGCCTGGCAGATGTTCCTGCCCCCTTTAGGGCTAAGGAGCTCCATGAGCCTGAGACCCAGGGAGATGTAAGCCAAGGCCCTGGAGCTAGAACTCAGCCTTTTACCTAGATCTTCTATTGAGCTTGGACCCTGAGCACCTGGGAGCCAAAGCTCTCTTCACTTCTAGGGAACCATATTGGGATTCAGGTCTTCTTCCTTTTTATAATGTATTTCTTTCATGACAGGGAGACAGACAACAGACAACACCCCAGTGGGGTCCCAGAGTCATGATTCATTCCCAGCTTCAGCCAGCCCAGGGTCATAGGCACACATGTGCCTCTTGTACTAGGTCTTTGTATGTTTGTGGGTCAGCCTTGCAGAGTGTCACATTTTTACTGCTGTGCCACCATCTGGCCTCAAAGTTTTCAGTCTTTTTTTTTGGAGAGGATTTTGCTATAGGGTATGTGCGCTCGCCAGAAAGACAAGAGAGAGACAGAGAGATAGAAAACGAGAAATTGCCCCCAGGGGGAATGGCCACACCGCAATCCCTTCTCCTCCATTCTCCTCTTGGGATCTTGGGAATGCACGCACACGCACCCGGCATGAGTTTAAGCCACCAGGTCCGGGACTCGGACTGTGGTCGGCTACATGGGAGTTCAGCAACATAGCCATTACGCTAACTCCTGGTCCCTCGTTCTTTTTTTTTTTTTTTTTTAAGAGTCATTTATTTAATTCCACTTGTCATGATTATTTTTTAATTTGACCAGAGAGAGACAGAGATAGGGAAAGTGAGAAAGCAAGCTGCCAGGTCTAGGATTCAAACCGTGGCCAGCCGTGTGGGAATCCGGCACCTCTAACGTTACACCATGCCACCTGCTGGCTCCTGTTTTCAGTCTTAATCAGACTAGGTTGATTGAGAGAAAGTGGGAGGGGACAGGGGAGGATGGCTGGTTTCCCTTCGATGGTGTCCCTGGCTCTGCTGACTTGCATTCTCTTCCTTCTGCACAGGTGTAAACGGGGCACTGCCTGCAGAGCAGGTCCTGCCAGCCTCGCTGGAGAGGATGCCCCCGTGTCCGTGATGGGCTGTGGGACAAGCAAGGTCCTTCCCGAGCCGCCCAAGGATGTCCAGCTGGATCTGGTCAAGAAGGTAGAGCCCTTCAGTGGCACTAAGAATGATGTGTATAAGCACTTCATCACAGAGGTGGACAGTGTTGGCCTTCTCAAAGCCGGGTTCCCAGCAGCCAGTCAGTATGCACATCCCTGCTCTGGTACCCCCAATACTGGTCACACAGAGCCTCCCACAGAACCACCACGCAAGGCCAGAGTGACTAAATACAGGGCCAAATTCGATCCACGTGTAACAGCTAAGTACGATATCAAAGCCCTGATTGGTCGAGGCAGCTTCAGCCGAGTGGTACGAGTAGAGCACCGTGCAACTCGGCAGCCATATGCCATCAAGATGATTGAGACCAAGTACCGCGAGGGGCGGGAGGTGTGTGAGTCAGAGCTGCGTGTGCTGCGACGGGTGCGCCACGCCAACATCATCCAGCTGGTGGAAGTGTTTGAGACGCAGGAGCGTGTATACATGGTGATGGAGCTGGCCACTGGTGGAGAGCTCTTTGACCGCATCATCGCCAAGGGCTCCTTCACTGAGCGGGATGCCACCAGGGTGCTGCAGATGGTGCTGGATGGCGTCCGGTATCTGCACGCACTGGGCATCACGCACCGAGACCTTAAGCCTGAGAATCTGCTCTACTACCACCCAGGCACTGACTCCAAGATCATCATCACCGACTTTGGCCTGGCCAGTGCTCGCAAGAAGGGTGATGATTGCCTGATGAAGACCACCTGTGGCACGCCCGAGTACATTGCCCCCGAGGTCCTGGTCCGCAAGCCCTACACCAACTCAGTGGACATGTGGGCGCTGGGCGTCATTGCCTACATCCTGCTCAGTGGCACCATGCCCTTTGAGGATGACAACCGCACCCGGCTGTACCGGCAGATCCTCAGGGGCAAGTACAGTTACTCGGGGGAGGTGAGTCTGTCCTGTCTCAGGGATGTTGGAGAGGTTCCCAGGTGGGATGGGGGTATATCTTGAGCTTTCAGTCAGAGGGACAAGCTCTGAGGGCCATGGTTGTGAGAGCCAGGAAGGTAATGGCAAAATGACAAAAGCGTAGTGTCTGAGTTCCCCCAAAAGTGGACCTGAGACAATGACCTGGGGACAAAGAGTTTATTTGAGTAACCACAGTTTATTCGAGTAACCACAGTTTATTCTATTAACCACAGTGAAGGGATAGGGAAAGTGAGTTAGGAAAGGGAGAAAGCTAATAGAAGCCATATCAAGGAGTAGACTGCTACTGTGAGCTCTTAGAACTCTGCTCACTGAGGGTCTTGTGAATAATCATGTGGAATATGCCTTGGAATTATACCACAGGGAGATGGGCCTTTTTTAAAAAATAATAATAATAATAATAATTTTGTCTGTTTGCTTGTTTATTTATTTATTGTTGACCAGAGAGAGAGAGAGGGAAAGTGAGAAAGCAAGCTTCCAGGTCTAGGACTCGAACCATGGTTAACCATGTGGGAATCCAGAACCTTAACCACCATGGCCAGCCCCCTGGAAGGTGTGGTTTTTTTTTTTTGTTTGTTTCTTTTTTTTTTTTTTGGAGAGGTTTTTGCTATAGGGTGCATGTACTTGCCAGAAAGAGAGAGAGAGACAGACAGACAGAAAGCGAGAAATCACCCCCCGGGGGGGATGGCCACAGCAGTCCCTTCTCCAGTCTCCTCTCGGGATCTTAGGCATATATGCGCACACGCCTGGCATGAGTTTAAGCCTCTGGGTCCGGGACTTGAACCATGATTGACTACGTGGGAGTCCAGCAACGTAGCCATTACGCCAACTGCTGGTCTCTAGAAGGTGGGGTTGTTTTTTAATTCACTGATTTCTGTACCTCACAGGCTGAGAATTTCTTTGGGGGTATTAGTCCTGGTATGTTCAGGTTCTCAACTGCCGGCTAGTGCTAGAGAAAGTCCATAGGGAGAGAAGCAGAGAGATGCAGGTACTGGCAGTGGGAGGTTGCCACCAGGCACAGGAGCAGTCCACTGTAGCTGCAGGTGAGCTTGAGTGGCTGAGAGACATGGCCCCGACCCCCACAGCATCTGCTCCGTGGGGCCCCAGGCAGCTGGAATGAACTTGCTTTCTCTTAAGGACCATTTCTGTTCAGTTTTGCCATGTGACAATAAGGACCCCATATAGCCAGATCTTCCAGTTTTTGAAAGTGATGCTAGAAAATATCTTAAAATGTTGGAATGTAATTCACATATTCAAGCAACACCTTGTGTTGCTCAAGAGATGCTGACAGAGAAAAGACTTTTTAAAAGTCTGCAGGTTTGCCTAAGAGTTTCTGCTTCTGGCAGTTGTTGATTAGGCAGTTTATCTAATTGCAGTTTGCACAGTCTTGCTAACTGGCTATTAATTATCTGAGGATGGGAGAAGGACAAATGAATGGAGTGGAGAATGGACTTGGGCTTTCTCATCCTACCATAGCCAAAAGACTGGGTCCTGAAATTCTGCTTCCTGTTCTGCAAAATCATGGGGCATTTGTGTGGGTCTCCCAGTTGTGTGTGTGTGTATGTGTAGGAGGGTACTGACCAACCTTTGTCCTATTGCCCTTTACTTGGAGCTGAAATCATCAGTTCTCAGTCCCAGAGTCAAATGGGCCCTGGTGACACTAGTATGTTACCAGGAGCTTGGCTAAGTGGAAGAACAGATCTTACCACCCTCTTTGGAGAGCTGTGGGTTGAGAGGGATTTGTCTGGGGGGTGTTTTCTGGAGTTCTTATCACGAGATCTGGCTCTTGCAGCTGGAGACCTATCTGATTTTTTATTCTGCTGATTCTGCTTATCCAAAAATGCACCTAGGGAAAATGCAAGAGATGGGGAGGCCTGTCTCCATCCCCCTGAAGCTTGAGATAGCCTGGAAGGACAGAACTAGAATAGGAAATGGCCACAGGATAAACCCTCATTGGCAGGCACATGCCGGTGCTGGGATTCACATAGAGCCACTGGGCCTGAGCAGTGTAGAACATGGGCTGTGGGGCTCGGGGCAGGCAGCTGTCCCTCTTCTCCCCCTTCTTTGTTCAAGCCATCTGTCCTAAACTGTGGGATGGGCATTTGCCCTTATGAAGGCCATCTGAGTGAGCAAGGCTCTGCCACAAAAACCCAAGTGACAGCAGGCTGTATCGAGGAGAGTGTTGCCCTGCCAATGAAGGACCTCCCACGCTGAGTTTAGTAAGGTTTGGAGGTGTGTGTTTCCTACCGGGAGTAAGCCTGCAGTGCTTGGTAAATTTCTAGGAGCATTGTTCTTGTCTCTTACCCCCCCCCTTTTTTTTTTTTTAAGAATTATTTTTTATTTATTTACTTATTTAAATTTTACCAGCGAGGAAGAGAAAGAGAAGGAAAGTGAGAAAGCAAGCACCCAGGTCCAGGACTCAAACTATGGTCGGCCATGTGGGAGTCCAGTGCATTTAACCTCTCTACACCACCTGCTGACTCTGCACCCACATTTTCTTTTAAGAATTATTTTATTTAATTTTATTGATTATTATTTTCCTTTTTTTTTTTTTTTTTTCAAAGAGAGATTTTTACTACAAGGCATGCACACTCACTGGAAAGACAGAGAGAGATAGACAGAAAGTGAGAAATCAGTCCCTGGGTGGGGGGGATGGCCACACCACAATCCCTTCTCCTTCACTCTCCTCTTAGGATCTTAGGCATGCACACACACGTGCGTGGCATGAGTTTAAGCCACCAAGTCTGGGACTCGAACTGTGGTCAGTTATGTAGGAGTCCAGTGACATAACTATTATGCCATCTGCTGACCCCTTTATTTTCCATTTTGATGGAGGGCGGGTGGAGAGGGAGAGAGAGAGGAAAAGTGAGAAAGCAAGCCACCAGGTCCTACTTGAACTGTGGTTGACCATGTGGGAATCCAGAGCCTTTAACCACCACACCACCAGGTACCAGCAGTTGATGTAATGGCTATGTTGTTGGACTCTCATATAGTCGACTGTGGTTTGAGTCCCGGACCCGGTGGCTTAAACTTGCGCCGGGCACGTGTGCATGCGTACTCAGGATCCCAAGAGGAGAATGGAAGAGAAGGGATTGCTGCTTGGCCATCCCCTCTGGGGGATCATTTCTCGTTTCCTGTCTCTCTGTCTTTCTGGCAAGCACACATGTCCTATAACAAGAACCTCTCAAAAGAAACCCTGCTGGCCCCCCTCTTGCCCACTTATAGTGGTGTCTCCTGTCCACCAGTCGTGTCTGGTGTACTTGTTCCCTGAGGGCTTCGTCCATGCAGCCCCTCTCGTTTTCAGGGACTGGAATAGAAGTCTTCCGGGCAGGGGGCCAGCAGGTGGCCTGGTGGTTGAGGCACTGGACTCCCTCATGGCCGATCATGGTTCAAGTCCCAAACCTGACAGTTTGCTTACTCGCTCTCCCTTTCTTTCTGTCTGTCTCTCTCTAGTTAAAATTGAAAAATTTGGGGCCAGCAAGTGTTTCTTTTGAGAGGTTTTTGTTATAGTGGTAGTTTTGTGGTAGTTAAGGGTGTTGGACTCCCACCTGGCCAGTGGCAGTTCAAGTCCTTGTTCAAGTCCTTGATCAGGTGGCTTGCTTTCTCCCTTTGCCTCTCTCTCTCACTCTGTCCCCTCTCTGGTCAAATTAAAATAAGTAAATGAATAAAGTTACATAAAATAATTATTTT